TACACAAATTACTGGGGACCCAATTTACCTAGCCTAGCAGGAGAGTATTAACCATGGTATTACGTAAACATCGTAGTTTGTTCGGTATTTTTAGGTTAAGCTAATTAATTATAGATAATTATTTAATTTGAGTATTTATAAGAGGACGTTTGGGTGGCATAATATGTTACCTCTATCTTCCACATGGATATCAATATTTCATAGCAAATTTGCTTTCAGCAGTTCCAATTTTGTGTCGTTATGTTTATATTAAAATTAAAGTGTATTTGTCCTATTACCAGTCTTAAAATCTACATTGTATTCTTTCGTTGGTTTCTTACAATATTTTAATTTGTAAGAGAGTTAGGGGAACTTATAAGTTTTAACATTTTATACACTCATAGTTTGCTTGAAAATTAAAATATCATAAAAACCAATCTAGAGAACACAGATAATGTTCTTATCTTTGTGTTTGTTAAAAGGTCAGTTTACTAATATTTAAGTTAGCAACACAAAATTGGAAATGCTTTACGCAAGTTTTCTATTTTGTCCATGTGATAGAGATAACTATGCTTGGAAGTACTGAACATACGTTTTGGCCCGAGTTTTGGTATGTTATGCGTTAGTAAGACGGAAACAACACATATACTTCATCTTAACATTGCAGTATACTTATTCATATAGTAATAAACTAATGAATAATAATGTTTTTTTTATTCTTTCAATGTTTATTTTAATCTTCAAAATATAATATTACTGAAGTCCAAAATTAATAAAAATAACTTAATAGTATTAATTATTCAAAAATAACTCACATTACACACACTGTATAATATATAGTAGAGGAAAATCGCATAATAATTAATAGCGTAAAAGTTGATGTTAGAAAATAATCGTGTAGGCCAATAATACACTTTTTCTTTATTCTTTTATAGTATTATACTATTATAGATGTTTTTAGTTGAAGATAACTTATTATTTAACTACAATACTATTTTACATGCTATCAATGCTTGATAATAGAACCCGTGTTTATATTTTGGCTTTTGATCATTATTTTAACTACGTAAATTAGTTAAAATACTGCTTGATATTTTAATTTTTTTTTTTTTAGCATCTTAATTTATAAACTAAATTGAACAAACGAACCTTGGACCATTTATTACTTTCATCACTTGTAATGAAGGTTTAAAATAAATTAACTCTAGAAGCCAGTAGGTAGTCAGTTATACCTATAAATTATAAAATTTGTGCTTAATAATTAGATTGTTAGTTAAATTATGAACAACTGTATATAGAATTTTAGTGAACAAGTCCAGAAAAAGAAATATGAGGATAAAAGTTGTAATTTAACAAAAAAAAACTTCCTATTTTTACAAGTTTTATTAGTATAATATTATGTTTTTTTAGTATTTGTAATAATATTAGTTAAACACACATTATTTTTAATTAAATTGTTTAGTGTATTTGGCGATAGTTAAATATAATAATTTGAAAATTTAACATAATAAATCGTGAATTATTTTTTTATTATTTGAATATAGGTATAACAATTTATATCATTGACATGATTTAAAAATTAAATCTAATATGTAGTCACTAGTAATTGTAAAAAAAATGATTTCAAACAAAAGTATTAAATGAAATAAAAACAGTTTTGAATTAAATTTAGTATAGCATGTTTTATATAGGTGCTACTATGGTATTTTGGTGTGATCATATTATTATAGAAATGTCGTATCATATTTTGAGAGTGTACTTGGGTCAAGTTCATAGTTATTATTTGTTAGCGTAATACTAATATAGTACCTAATTACCTATATAGTTTATATATTTTTCTATTAGTATATTATTAAAAGAAGTCATGTACCTATAGTAATTATTTTTTTAAATTTATCGTATGTTATAATAAGTAATAATTTTTTTAAAATGTTTATAGGGTATGTCTATTTACCATTAAAATTTAAAACAAAACAATCTACATGTCAGATATCTTTGTTAAAGTGCTCAATTTATTCTTCTGGAATAAGAATCGAATTACAAACTATTGTACTCTCTGAAATGCCAGTTGAAATATCTGCTTGTAGTTAGTAGAACGCGAGTTTTAATTTCCATTGGAAATTAATTGCGAACTTCCAATAATAATTATTGTTATAATTTTGTCGAAAAATATTAGCTTGCTACTCTTTAATATCTTTTCACACGTTCTGTGATAATGGGCAACAAGCATATAACCTATACGTGTATAGCCTATATTATTGTAATGGCCAATATATATTATATAATAGTATGTAGTGTTTTCGTGTTAGTATGATAGGTACAGACGGTATTGCATTTTCTAAATGGCGGTTATATTATTTTCTTATGTAAATAAGTACCTACACCTCGCCACCATCAACGGGTCACGGGTGGTTGGTTGTGCACTTTAAACAATTATAAGTCCGTGTTTTCGCCCATAATAATTTCCCAACGTTATTATACTGTTAAAAACGTCACTATGTTGTTATTATTATATGTAGGTATACGTACCTATATATTTCATATTTAGCGATATTGAATTAATTTTTATTAGTCGTCGAGGCCTTGAAAGGCGAATCGATAAGCCATTATATTTTCAAGAATGATCACTATACGCGTCGGGCACAGGGGAAACAAGGACGTCTAGTTTGCAGTGCGCTAGTCAAAATATGATTTCTTTGTTGTTTATATTATGCTTAAAATTGTATTTCCCCCTGTCCTCCAACAGTAGTGTTGGTGATACTATATTACAGCAACTAGGAGGTATATAAAGTAATAAAGTATGCATATTAATCTATATTGTGATTAATGATTAGTGCATCGTGTATCGTTACGGTACACATTTTTAACTTTAGGCTGTAGCTTTATCGAGATATGTCTGAAATCAAATACATTTCTATGTTTATTATGACGCTTTTTTGATAAGACATGGCAGATCAAAGACAAGATAAATATTATAATGTAATATTTTATGTTAATGGTCAATTATATTTTTTTTAATAATTATAACTTTTTTAAACTTTTTATTTTTATTTTACATTGTATCTTTTTAATACAAAATAAAAATACGATGTTATAGATTTGGTTGACCTATACAATTTATCTGACTGTATTTGAGCAATAACACATAAAATACCAATACTTCTTATTTAAGTTATATTTCACATAGGTAGGTTACTAAAAAATTTCTCAGATATTTTAATATATTACAGCATTATTCATGCATATTTTACGATCTTTATTAGTTCACCATCTGTCGTAGTATTATAAACCTCGTTTTTATGTATTTAAGTTTGAAAATAATATTTAATTTTCGTTGTATACATTTACATTTTACATACATATATTATTATTTTTTGAAACTTCAACTGAAGTATATTTTTAGAATCTACTTTTTATGCTAGTTAATTTTCATAATATTGCACAAAATAATGAATATTTGTATAAATTTAGGATTGACGGATTATAATTTTAAACAAGCATTTTTGTTCGTTCCAATTATTATACAATGTATGAACGTCATTGAAAATCATAATACATTAGACAATTAAAGAAAAATTACAATTACATTAACAAGATAATTTAAATAACTATCCAAATATAATAATTTGTTTTTATAAATGAAATACTTTATTATATACCTTAATATTACTTTAATAAAAAAAAATTGTGTTGGTACTTAATTCTTAAATCATAAAGTTTAGGTAATGATCAATAAATCACTGTAATTTGACTGTAAATCATTGGGAATTATTTGTATATATCTTAATGTTAAATATGTTTTGTAGGCAATACTGGTTTAAGATACATTGAAACTGTTTTCAAAAATTGTATATTGTGTATAATTTAGTATCGTGCAAAAGTTGTTATATAATTATTTTTACTACCATTATAAAATTAATGTTTAGAAATTGTTACAAAACATTTTATTAGTCCTTTTGTAAAGTAATTAAAACATATTATTAATAGTTACCTAATATCTAATATATATTATACTTTATATATATATATATTATTATCTACTATCTAGCTAGGTGAAAATTCAAAAATATTTACTTGTCATTTGTTTTTAAGAAAACCTCCTATAAACATGTTATTTAATTGGAAGTAGCCCATTTTCCTAAACGGCTTCCGTTTTACAAAAAGGTCAGTTTTTCCAAACAGCTTCGGTTTTTTATAACACAAATTATTTCCCACTTCATACAGAATTTGTACTGTCTTAAAAAAAGTGTGGTAAAAATGTGTAGGTGTTTTTCAAATTGTATATTCTATGTAAATTATAAAAATTATATACAAAATCATTTAGGTAGGCGATTGATACTCTTAATTAAAAATTAAAAATATTTGAAATGTTACAATTTGTTACTTAGTGTTTTTAGGGTTCGTACGGTAAAACGGAACCCTATTACTAAGGCTCCTCTGTCCGTCCGTCCGTCCGTCTGTCACCAGACAGTATCTCATGAGACATGAACCATGAAAGTTAGAAAGTTGAAATTTTCATAGACTTTGTATTTCTGTGGCCGCTATAACAACAAATACTAAAAATCCTAAAATATATAATATAAGCAGTGTTACCAACATGTTTATAGATGATGGTACGGGACCCTTCGTGCGCGAGTCCGACTCGTACTTGGCCGGTTTTTTTTTATGTAACTTTAGCATTAAAAGTATAAAAATCATATATAGGGTAAATTTGACTGAAACCTTTTTCAACAGTAGCCGTTTGGGTATAAGCTAACCTAACAATGGAAGGTGCCGTTTGGGATGCACCGATTTAATTGGGTTTCCCTCAGAATTGTCTTGTCCTATTTAATTTTGTATTTATTGATTTAACTATAATATACATCTTAATACTAATACTAATATGCATATCTATTGTACGAAAATAATTTATTGATCGTGTATTACGATTAAAAAATATATACTTAAACTATACAATAATAAGTAATTAATTATACACTTCATATACTTTAGAATTAAATATTTATCAATTATTTGTTTAGGAATTAAGTGTCCAGTATGTTCAAAGTTTGTTTTACCAGACGAGATTGAAGTACATCTGATTATGTGCTTGACCAAACCTAGACTGATTTACAACGGTAAGTTATAAAATGTTTATTAGTTTATACTGTTTTTCCTAAAATTAAATTAAAATATTATCAAATACACATTGCATATCTTAATAATTTGATTGTTATATTAAATATAACTTATATGTGGTTTATTCTTTTTTTATAATATTGCTTATAGCCTGTTAAATGATATAATTATTATCATGTTATTTTGCAGAAGACGTTTTAAAAGATGATAAAGGTGAATGTGTCATATGTTTGGAAGAACTGATACAAGGTGATACCATAGCCAGGCTTCCTTGCCTTTGCATATACCATAAAACGTAAGTATAATCAAAATTGATATTTTACTCAGTTTTTGAACTTTAAATATATCATGTATACCAAAAAACCACAGTTTATTTTTTTAAATTTAATTTGTAATTTTTTGTGAACTAATAATATTTTAACTATGATCTATACGTCTATATGCTAAAATTGAATGTACTCCGCTGCCTATATGTATATAAATGTTATATTTTACGAACATTTAAAATTAAGTAAAAAAAACAACTTTACATTATTAACAGTAAATTATGAATAGACGTACCTATACATTTAGGCATTCGTCAATGGCCAGATACCTGTGAATTTAATTAATTAAAAACGAATTTTTTACTTGGTGCGGGTACTTATTTCAGTTAAGGAACTTCCAAAATAATTACTCACGACCAGATTTAGTAAATCACGCCTATGGTATCTATATACCTATATCTGCTCACTATCTTTATTCGTCATCTTCGTTCGATTATCTTTATATATATAATTCTAAAGTACGTGTGTTTGTAAGCGAACTCCTCTTAAACTGCTGGACCAATTTTGATGAAATTTTTTGTGTGTGCTTTAGTGTGCCCTAGAATGTTTTAGATTCACAATCGGACCCGGTAGGCCCATTCCGTGGAGATGCTCTAACGGGAATGTTGAGATTTATGGTGGATATTTTTGTTTATAAATGGTTGCCATGGGTTTTAAAGCTATTATAATAATAAATATTGGTTGCCGTGAAATCAGAAATAATTAGAAATAATTTATAAACAACGTTAATATAATTGTATTTAGAAAAATTGATGTTATTTCAAAATAAAGAATAATGAAATTATTATATTATTTGGCTTTCATTTCTAACTTTATTTAATATCCTAATCGGTTGAAATATCATGCAGGACAACGTCTGTCGGGTCAGCTAGTTTATTATATAAATCTATATTTTAATACAACTACACTAACTTCTGTGCCTCTGTAACTTCACGTCCCTGTGGTCTATCTAACATGCGTCCTTATTTCAGTCGTGTAGTCTGAATTTTGTTGGTTGTTGATGAGTAAGGGGGGGAGGGGTGATGTATGGTAGTGGTTGAAAATTTATTATATTATATAAATGGCTTAATTATCCTTCATAAGTTTGGTATGCTGATGCCCATGCCCTGGATATGTTAAGATTTTTGCAGCAACCTCTATAAAAGTTACAGTTTTAACGTTACAGTTACGTTCACAAAATAATGAAAGCATTTTTAAATTCTCCTGCATTATCGGGAGTGCTGTAGCCTCCTCAGCCACTCTGGCTACGGCGTTGCCTGGTTCATCATTTTTAATAACTAGTTTTATTAGTTTGTCTAAATTGACTTCTTGTAGGTAGTCTTAAAAATGATTTCCCTACATTATTTTTTATACTCTATTCCAATGTTTCATTGATAATACAAATTGAACGACGTAATAATAATACTGCGATAAAATATAAAAGATGCATTACAGATGTTTTAAGAAAATAGTAAAGTAAATAAAAACAATTATTTTATTTTGGACCGATGCCCTAACCCTTCTCTTTAACTCTTGAAATTTAAGGATATTTTTGGTTTTGGCTTAAACTCAACGGATGTTCCAAAATCTAGTACAACGAGACAATTTCCTCTCATTTAGATTTTTGACATTCCTATATCAAGGTTAAACAAAACAGGGATTTAGTTTCCGGGTCATTAAACTCATAATATGTATTCATTTCTCCACTTATATTTTAAAATTATACTATAAAATAATTGTTGGTGTAATATTGTTATTATAAACTAAGTCAGTATAACTTGATTAAATTTGGAATATAACTACGTTAAAGAATAAAAAGTGAAATACAGACTTTGTCTGGGCCACTGAGAGTTACTTGACGTAACTTAATTTAACGTGATGTACGTGATATATGTAATAATAATATACTAGGTAATGTTCTTCTCAGTGACTCGGTTGGTACTTCGATGAAATAATAGTTCCGGCTAGTGACATACCCGATAACCATTTTTTACAATATATAGAATTATATACATAATATATGAATACATACTAGTTAAAACTAAACACCCGTTAAAATCGGAATATCTTAAAAAAATATAAAATACTGTTTTCACATTGAAGAACTAATTTTAATATTATAATATATTCCCAAATTTTGATTTGTTGATAATTATTTTTGTGACTTAATTGACTCGGTCAATTAAAATGTCAGGAGACGATAGTAAAATGCTTATAATTGTCTTACCACGTGTAATGTTAGTGTTATTTTTGGACTTTGGCCTAAATGATGAGTCGACCATAAGAATAATTAGAACGAACATGAGAAGAATAAATACGAACATAAAAATTATGACTGATATTATGTTATAAGGATCACTTTAACAGAGGCAACTTGACATAAAATGTCAATTGATTGAAGATGAAGTGTGAAAGTCTTAAACCACAATTTATGGAAATGCATTTACCTATATAAAATCATTAGAGTACAAGAAAAGGTCATTGTAAAATTCTTAAGTTCTAAAGATTATATATTATCCAATAGAAGTTATTACTTATAGGTACCTAATTTAAATAATATCTATTAAATATTCTAGGTCCCGAGAAAAGCAAAAATATGTGTGTTATTCATACGTGACTCCGTTTTTTGATAGAAAGAATACTCCAAACATTTCATATGGTTTATACGAGATCTGACATGTCAATGTTAATACCAATAATACCATAATATTATACTATAATATGTTTGACGACTAGATAAATAATAATTAATTAATTAACTATAAAATACAATTAATAAAATAGGTAATCTAGGTTTTGTTAAAATAAAAAAACTTATTCAAACGATTTATAATAGAAATAGTTTTTTAGAAAAAAATATGAATTATTATACCGAGGTTTTGTCGTAGATTTGTTTATGTTAAAATTAGCGTTTGTTAGATACCATATGTGAGGGATACCTTTTGCATCTACTTGTCGAGTAAATATTATGATTGATTTTTTTGGGGGACGTGTATCACTATAAAATTGACAATTAAAAAAACAAAACACTATTGTCCGAAATATGTAATATTGTAAAAATAATTTCTAAAATGTGTGTGACTAGTACGCGGGTGACTAATATATAATACCTCCGCCCTCCGTTCATTATAGCCACCCTACCTCCACACACCACTGCACCTTTGAAATGGACACATACATTTATTTTGTTGATCAACGAAATTAAATTAAAATACAATTATTATATAAAATGAAAATCATAACAAAATAATAAAAAATAATTTCATCAAACTTATACCTAGTTTACCAAATAATATAATATACGCGACACTTAAAAAGCGCGTTCGTGTGTCATTCCTGCCATTGCCCTACACGTTTTATAAATACAATTTTTTATCGTTGTAATGTCTGTTGAAAGTTGTAGGTAACACAATTTTGATACAGTATAAAAGGCAATATTGTATGAATTTTGATTTGTTTTTTTTATATGTTTGTATCGATCATAATTTATAACATATGGCGAATGGCGATGTCCTCTCTGTTGTTATTATGATTATTTTGCGTACCTACCTAATACAGTTATACCGTAGTGTGAATTATATTAAAAGATTATTGACCTAGGAAGTACTCGGTCATCATGAACTTAACGCGCTGTAATTTTAACTGGAGAAGATATTATGTTGAACGATTGCGTATAATATAGTGTTACGTGTTGGAAGTTTCAAGGTTTCTTATTTTTGTACAATGTGCTTAGAAAGCATGTTTGGAAGTTTGGTGACGGTTTTAGTACCTACAATTTAATCGATACGAGAAAGAACGTCATCAGCGGCACACATTTATTGCACAAATTAATGATAACTCCGGTCTCTGAGGGATAAAAGATCGCGTTATTGGTTGTTGTTAGGTAGTTATACTGCAAAACACATCGCGTCACCGCCCACCGGCCAGTGTTTTTGATACTGCAATGAGTATAATAGCCTGGGGTTTTTCGTTCCTCGGGCTTGGACAGGGTTTTATTTTTTTTTTTATAAAAAGTGAACAGTAAAATTTTATTTCTAATTCAATTACGAATTGTTTTCGTAATTGAATTAGAAAAAATTTATTTTATAAGTTTTAAGTTTGTAACACAGAACGGTTCGCGTCAATTATCCTTATTATGCGCCGGATACCTAGTGACGCATGTTTATATAATTATAATAATTATTTTTTTTTTTTTTTTTGTTTTCAGATGTATAGACCGGTGGTTTGAAGTGAACAGATCGTGCCCAGAGCATCCCGGAGATTGAGCGGTTTATACACAGACTTCGAACAAAATCTGAAAATGGGAATATAAGATAATAATATAACAAACAATTGTTCCGCAGCTATATATATTATGAATAATGATTTAATGATTAATAATTATTCAAATTTATTTTAACGACTACGAGAAGTCGAAACGTCAATCCCGAACTTAATAATATTATCATTTACCATACCAATACTAAAATATATACATATAAATAAACTTAAAATAATGTGCACGAAAAACAAATAAATAACGTCATAATTATATCATCTATAATAATATGCTTTCAATATTTTGCAAATCGGTTGTGTACAAAGGCTGATACGTGATACAACTGTTAAATGTTGATTGTCAGTTTTCGATCAACTTTTTTTTTATTGATTGATTAAGAAAATGATACGTGGACTAACAAAAATCACTTAAAATTTTATTCTTGACTGTAAAGTGGTTTTTTTTCATACAAATTGTTTATTTCTTGTTTAATGCTTTATAAAATGTATAAAGTTTAGCAATGTTTGGTTGAGATAAAATATAATTAAAACCATTTTTTTTTTTATAACTATTTATACTACATAATTATATAGTTGACGTGTTACATAATACAAAAAAAACTGTACATATCATTTTGTGTTTTTTTGTTTTTTAGATTTATTCTCCCACTTTTTTATTGGTACATTTACATGTCTTGAAGTAAAAACTACTACTAAATCATAACATAACATTTTTAAATTCTACCTTAACTTTTCTATATAGAATGAGTTTTAAATTAATGTTTGTATATGTAAACACTAAACAGATCATAAATAAAACTGTTATTGTATATTTTATAAACGTTCCGAATGAATCAGCGAATATATATAGCTATTCCAGAGTTTAAATATTATGTTTTACATTATTTTTTCTGATTCCATATTGTTGATGGTCAGAAATATATATCATTTATTTTAATTTTACTCAATTGTAAGAAAATTTAAATAGACTTAAGCGTTTTGTCGTTATTTTTAATTTACATACGGTGCATTGTAACTTTGTTTTGTTTTGTTTTATTATTATTTTTTTTTTTTTTCAAATTTTATAACTGATCAAGGATAGTTTTTGTAACTTAGTCGGGGCTGCTCTTTTTACAATGTAATTGGATTCTCGTTTTATTTATGTAAAATTGTTTTTAAACTTGAAGTATGATGTTATATGAGATATGATATAGCCAATATGAATATACCTAATTATTTAAGTGTTTAAAAAACCCTCGAAATATACTACAATGAATATATTTTGATTGATATTATCGAGTTGCATTTACCCCAAGTCCCTTATGCCCAATTGCCATTTCAACTATATTATTATAGGTTGCACACACTTAGCTACAATGGCTGGTAACTGTGAAATGCTCTGTAAACCGCTATTGTGCTACAAACATTAAACTATTATCCTGCTTTAACTCCGCGTGCTCCAAGTCCATTATATTTTGATATAATATTACCTATATATTTATAAATTGTAATGATCATAAAATAAAAAATATTAATAAAATAGAGATTTATAGTATTATGTTAAACAGAGATTTTCAATAATAACAATTTTTCTCATTAAGAACTACCTATATGTTTAATGTGTACAAGAGTGGGCGAGTGTATGTCTTGTAATTAAATATGTGTGTATATTCTTGAAAGCAAAGGGTTGTAACGATAATTGCAAAAGTCTTAACCAACACAATTTTAGTTCAGTTAAGTTATATTGTTTCTTAATTTGTTCGTATATAAAATGTAATACCTATGTAATTGTATGAATGCCGAAGATGAAAAAATGTTTCTGGTTTCTGTTGACATTAACATAATTATTATTTTTACAACTACATTTATAAGACCCAATCTAATCTATTTTATTGTGATATATCTTAAACATGAATGTATAATGTATGATTAAAAAGACCATATTATTATAAAAATACAGTGTTTAGACTCATTCGATACCTACATTGTATTTGTTATTTATATTTTATTCTTTTCAGTGATATGTAACTATGTTATGCGCATACTTGTCTAAATGAACTGACTTATTTAATTTTAATTTTAATTAATATAAATTATGACTTAGAACTGTATGTTGCTAATTATACTAGTGTTGGATATTTGTGAATAATTTGGTATTGTAAAGAGGAATGGCGTGGCCCACGGAGATACTGGGAAGTTCCGGTGGCCTGACGTATTTGGGCTTGCCATTGGCCTGATGGCTGTATTAAATTATTATTTTGAATAATCAGTATAAAAAATTAATTATTATTTATTTGTACAGTTAATTTTTGCAACATCGTGCTTGACTCGTAATACATAGGTATCAGAAAAATAATTATAAATTAGTGTGGGTGCTAAACTTGATTTGTTCCCAATAAATTATTATAATTGTATGTATTAGTACGTAAATTACATTATATTAGTGTAACTGTGTGAGGATGCTTAAAAAATCACTCAGTATGATATTAACGCGAAGCCTGACGAGGGGAATAATGATTAATTTGTTTAATATTCAACTATGAAACTATGGAAAAATTTGAAACTACAAAATAGTGAATAGTAAATAATAATTATTAATTAGGTACCTACACAGAAATTAAATTACGAAAACCAAAATTATATTTCTATAGAATTTTTACTTAGAAGACAAAATACTTAAGTTATAAGGCATAAGCATAATATAATTTAGTAATATTTCAAAAATATGCAATATTTGCATGATTGCTGAATCCAACAGAGGCGTCCTTGTGGCCTATTTGAGCCCATTGTTTTTAAGAACCGAGTTTAGTTAGATTTTAGCTGCAGTCACATAATTAAACCTAAAAAACCTCCTCCTACTTGTTATTTGACACTTGTACTATTATGGCCTGCTCGCACTATATTATGGGTAAGCATCTGGGCCATGTAAAGAAAAATTGCGTCTAAATTTACGTACTCTAGAGTCTCTACTCAGCTACTCCCCATATAGACCAGGAATACGTCAACCTAATAAAAACATTTATGAGACCCTAAAAAAACGAAGGGGCTTCGTTCGAGGCCCCTCGGCCATGGCCAGGCCGACACTGAGTGCATTGCACGCATACCCGTTGTACGCTAAATTTTTATATAATATATAAGATAAGTGATAACCAAGAATAACGATTTTAGTTGTTTTATAGTAATTTAAAAATATTATTTGTGGGTACTTTAAGCTTCTCAAGATTTGATAATATGCAAATAATATTAATTCAACTAAGCGGCTACCTACCGTATAGGTAATAAATATTATAGTAAATATTCTTTTCGGGAATTAAATGAATAACTTGGGTATATTCTAATGAGTTATTCAGTTATGACTATTTATTAATTCTCAATAAAAATTACATAATATAGCAACATTTTTTACAAAATTTCAGTACCTATGTTTAAACAAAGTAACGATTTTAGTTATCTATTATTTATTGTAAACAAATATTATCCGTAGGGACTTGATACCTACTTTTCGAAACTATATAATAAATAACGATAAAACTATATAAAGGTATATAATATTATTAGCTACTTTTACATTTCTACTATACGGTAGGTATACAGTATACATAATGCAATTTTAATAACCAATACATTTTAATTGCTTTTATTTATATCAATTTAAATGTCCACATGACAGTATGACACGACACGATGGTAAAAACACGACAAGACACGAAACATGAAGAAGTTGTGCAGGCGCCCGGCGCCTTTCCAAAAACAAATATTATATTATATTATACAACTAACCTCAACTTTATGTAATATAAATAGTCACTAAATCGATATTAATACATTATAGCGATATAGGAACGTCGTGAAAATTTCTCGCACCGCCGTGGAAGCACGTTAAAAAACGTCGTCGTCCCACTCTTGTCCTGGAGCCACATAATCATCGCCGTCGTCTTCACGGTCATCCGGTTGCTCAGTCGTGGTAGTGGTAGGAACACGGTCAACAACGGTATCCGGTGCAGGCTCCCATCGGTGGACCTCACCGTCGGAAAGCCTACTACCGGTGGTACCGCGATTATTAATTACAACGTCGTCCGAGTCCGTCCAGTAGTCCTCGACGTCTTCACTACCGTGGTCTTGCACGGTTACCGTCCGCGGTACCAAATATAACGTATTCGGGTCCGTGCCTGGTCTTGGTATCCATATGTGATCGAACTCGGACCTGGGTCGGTATTGGTGTCGTTCGTTGTCTGTGTACACGATGCGCCGCCCGTACGAATGGTCCAGAAACAAGCCCAACAGGTCGTAATGCACTACGCAAGCCAACGCCACGAGTAATGCCTGTGAAACATAATATAGAAACAACTTAATGACGTAGATTATGTACGTATCACTCTTTGATTTTTTTTACCGAGGACCAGGATGAAATCCTAATATCGATCGATGACGAATTCTAATCCGGATTTATTCATCATTGGTAAAACGATTAACCTAAACGACAGTCCCTAAAATATCCAAATTTTCGTACTACACACATAGGTACTCCCAAATCGGTCAAATCTAAATTATTTCTAGATAAACACTTAAAACACTAGTATACTCTATACCACGGTTCACTACTAAGCTGATAAATGATAATAATAAAAATAGCTACTCCCAACAAGTAATAACAATGAATTGTTTATAATAATAACTATAATAAGAGTATAAGACGTAACAACACAAAATATTGTTGTGTATAATGTAGTGTTGGCCAACGATATCGATAATTCGATACGATATTGATATCGTAGGTTTTTTCTTAATAATTTTGATATCGATATCTAAAAATAATTATCGAAAGTATCCAATATCGGTGTGATTAATCGGGGCTAAGAATTTTGCGGTTTTACGGATGATTAAACACTAAACTGAGTAAACAGTATAAAATAAAATAATATTTTATTATATCTGTAAAAGTAGATTAACGTAGATTAACGTAGATTATGATACGAGGCGATATTAATATGTTCCAAAGAAATAACTCACCACACCAAAAAATTTAATCTAAATTCAGTACCGGTTGTTAACTCGCGGTGAGACGTCGTGTTTTTTTTCGTAATTATTCCTACGATGAAACAACTTGAAGAGTATAAAAATTTGAAAATCAAATTTCCCTACGATCAAGATCCTTTAAATTGGTGGAAAGAAAACGAATCTAAATACTCACCTGTTTCATTACTAGCCAAAAACTACTTAAGTATAGTGGCCACTAGTGTTCCCCTGTGAACGGTTATTTAGCGAAGCTGGAACAATCATTTCCAAGAAAATAAATAGATTATCTCCTGAGCGACTCAATCAACTGTTATTTTTGATTTAATATTTCAAATCGAACCCAAGTTCTGAAACATTGATGGAAAAACTGCTCGAAGAAGAAATTTGTTGATTAAATACATTGGATACTTTTCAGTTTGTACAAAATAATATATAATTGTTAATTAATTTTCACTCATAATATATTAAAACAATATGTATTCTATACTTTTAATATACTTTCAATACACTCATAATAATATAATAATATAATATGTATTCTATACTTTTAATGTTTTAATATGCTTCGATATCGATATTGGTATTTTTCCGATATCGCAATACGATATCGGGGAAAAAAATACGTTATCGATATTGAAAATTATATCGTTGGCCATCACTAGTATAATGTATATAATAACTAAAATGTGGTTTAGCAAAAAACCATTAAAATATAAAAAAAATGTGAAGATATAAAATTATACATTCTATTATTATTAAGGTTTAATTAGAATAACACATTTTTAAATTTCTTACTACACACTGAACTTTTCATACTACACATAGTGTGCAGTAGTGCCCACAATTTTAGGGAATGCTAAACGAATTATTTTTATATTTCTGCAGTTGGAACAAGTCTAGTTTACCGGGCACATTTTTTTTTTGAAAAGGTTTGTTTTGACGAGTTAAGAACGATGGTGCAAAAATAAAATTGCGGAAATGATTATTTTGGAGGTTATAGCCATAGGCGCAATTTCAACTTTTGACTTGGGGGGGCTGAATATATTAAGGGCAAGCAGACCCGTGGGGGGCTATGCCCCCCACACCCCCCACCGTCACCATTCATATTATCTTACCTTATAATATTACTTCATAATCCAATTAAATTTTTTTTCTTCATTATTACGGTCGACCTACCTCAATTTTCAAGTGGGGGTGTGACTTATAATAACATGATTTTAACAACATAGTAGGTAATACATTTATTAATTAATTTCAATATACCTATATATCAATCAATATAAACAAACAACAAATTATAATTGTAACCTTTTATTGGTCTTAGCATACTCAATTAGTATATCCTCAGCTTTAAGCTGATTTGATACTTCTCTTTCAATGTTTATTATTGCCAAACTAGAAAATCGCTCCTGGTCCATCGATGTGCGTAGCCAATTTTTAATTCTTCTCATAGTGGAGAAAGAACGCTCACACGTGGCTGAACTAACAGGAATTGAAAAAGCGTAAAATGAACGATTGAGTATAGACTAACGTAAAAACGCGGATTGTTAACTGTTGTAATGAAAACGACAAGCGGATAATATGACGTACCTAACCATAAGGGAAAGACCTAGTTTGCCGAATTTAAAACAATAAAAATAAACATTTAATATAATATAGAATAAACTATATATAAACACGTCATGTCAAATATTATGCGGGCTTATCGCCTGTTACTAGCATCGTGGGTTTAGTAAAGAGTATCTTATATAATTATTTATTATGAAGTAGGTAGGTACCTAAATATACATTTAGTATAATATACAATCGCGATCATGACGTGATAACAATAATAACACAATGTAATAATAATTTCAAATAATATAGGATAAAAATAATATTATACATTCATTTCTACAAGATCGGTGATAATTTTTATTTTATAAATAACATAAATAATTTATAATATTATTTAAATATGTAAGAGATTAACTAATGGCCTTTGCTGCCGAGTTATATATAAAGATCAATAAAAAAAAAAACTGTACACATTTATAATATTATAGCATTATAAACTTGTAGATTTTTGGGGGGGCTACGGCTAAGTTTGGGGGGGGGGCTAAGCCCCCTCAAGCCCCCCCCCAATTTGCGCCTATGGTTATAGCTTCCCAAAGTTAACGATTTTACGTTTATACGCGTGCGCGCAACACTACTATAATGCCGCGCGGAGGACCTCGAGTTTGGCGACCGGAGGAATTTTTTAATTGTTTTTATTGTGATGGCATACCCAATTAAATAACTATATTACTATTCCTATTATAATTATATTATTAATTACTTATATCTTTTATAGATAACCAAATTACCTATAGTTAATTACCTACAGTAAGCAGGGCAGTGATTACGCAGTTTGCGACACTCGTCGCTACGCTCCTCGGCGCCGTCGCTCCGCTCCGCAAATCGAAAATATCCCCCGATTTGTTGTGTAAAACCACCTCAGGTGAACCTCGGTTTTCCTCAAAAATTCCCGGAAACTTATCGTTCAAAAGTTATGGAAGTTCCAAGTTGCAGTGATTACGCGTGTATCGGCACTCGTCGCTGCGCTCCTCGGCGCCGTCGCTCCACTCAGAAAATCGAAAATATCCATCGACTTGCTATGCAACAACACCTCAAGTAGTTCACAGGGTAATTAGTAATTACTAATTGTTGTATCAGTTATCATAAAAGATAAAAACAATTAAAAAAGTCCGCCGGTCGCCAAACTCGAGGTCCTCCACGCGGCATTATAGTAGTGTTGCGAGCACGCGTATAAACGTAAAATCGTTAACTTTGGGAAGCTATAACTTCCAAAATAATCATTTCCGCAATTTTATTTTTGCACCATCGTTCTTAACTCGTCAAAACAACCCTTTAAAAAAAAAAATTTCAAAAAAAAAAGGTGCCCGGTAAACTAGACTTATACCCTGCAGTTTTTTTTAATGCCCTAAATTATGACTTGTTATAAACAATCAACTTACAGATTTTGATTGCAACAATTTCCTTATTAAAAAAAAAATAAAATATTTTTAAAAAAGCAGGGGAAGTTATTCTGATGTTAGTAGGTAAATAGCCTGGAATACTCGAGTGAACCTCACATTGAGTAGGTCAATAGTGACAGCTGTAGTAATGTTAGAATATGTTAAATATGAATTCAATGATAAATATTATTTGTACCTATACAATAAAACGATTATTGGCTGTGATGTGTTAGTCTATCAACAAAATAATTAACGATTATGACAAAATTCGTCAAAATTTTAAATTAAACATTTGAACTGTTAAAGAAAAAGAAATGCGACTATGTATTAAACTTTTTAAATCGATTTTTTCAAAAACTGGTTTAGTACTTTAGTGTTATTATTTTTCTTGTTCCCAATTATTTTGAAAATTACTGAGAAATTTCTTCTCTTGACGACTTGACCCCCCGAACTCCCTAGAATAGATGAAGATCAGAAATGTTTTCTACTGCCTACAAAAATATAGTCTTCAGACACAAAAATAAAAATATAACAATATCGACTATTAAATATAGTAAAATAATGTCGTCAACCTTTTGGTGAAAATAAATAAGCTGCACTATCACACATAATTCAGCTATTAATATCATCTAAAATGTATTCTTGGAAGTCACGATAATCCTCAAGTACGATTTATCCATCTTGATTTCGATTAATATTTGATATTTATATCTCCACATTCTTAGAAAAGTATTCAGGTTCAGAATAATATGAAATCAATATTTATTGGCGTTTAAAAAAATTAATAAAAACCATAAAAATTCTCAATGAAAAAAATTAATGTTGCAGATATCCATTAAATGTATCGCTCAGTTATACAAAGGATTGCACCAAAGACATCAAAATCAGTAAAGCGAAATATTAGGGAAAAGTGATTTTTCACTTGTCATTAAAATTACTGACCTGTGTGTACTTAAATTATTATTATAGCTACCATTTTGTAAGTTGTCAATCCGAACATGTACCTACTTATCATTTATAAAATAGTTAATATAGTTTATATAAATGTATATGACGTATAAGTAAGTAGTTATAATATAATATTATTCTAGTCTCTAGATGACTAGATACTATATTAGTATCAATACTTTAATAGATACGTCATACGTATAATGTACATAAATATAAATCGAAAATTAATTAACGTATATTATGAATATTTAATATGCAGTTACTAGTTTGTTGATTGTAACGCATTCCATTTCTACATCAATGAATTTCAATTTTAACTGTAAAATATAGGTATATTTATTGCAAATATACCAGTATTTATTGCATATTTATTGTGAACTATTACAATAATAATTTACAATGAATTGAGTTCGAGTAAAATAGTTTATGAATTTAATGAAAATAAAAAATACGCTTTATGTAGGTAGATAGTAAAACTACTAAAACATTAATTAAAAGTTCAATATTCAAAATAATTAACAAATATATTTGCCTACCTATTTAATTAGTTTATTATTTACAGAATAATATTGGAATTTGAAACTCAAAATAAACAATTAAAGGTCCTTAAAGGTAACCTAACCTTACAAAAAAGCCAATTATATACTCATTAATTATTATAATACTGGGCAAAATGTTTTTTTTTCAAACTGTGTTAATATATACAATGAGGAAAAAGGCTTGAAGTAGTGATGTGGTACTCCTAGGATATTTTATTTTAGGCCTTCTTACATTTTTTTTATATATATTGTTTAAAGGTTTTTCTTTATATTTTATACATTTGTACTCCAGTAATCATATGAAAACAAAATGGGATCTAACTTATAAAAATACCCATGTTAAAAATGTTATCGATTGGATCATTGTCTTTTAGATCAGTAAAAATATTTCAATTTTCTACTTTGAAGGCGGTTTTTGGTAGAACATTGAATCTAGTTGGTTGAAATTTTAAAAACTTGATATGATCACCAAATATTTATTTTCTAGAAGACAATGTGATATAATTATTATTTATTATATATTTATATTTTGCGTTTTTTTTTGGCGAAAAATAGTTCAATATTCATACAATATTACTCTACCTATTATCAACAGAATAATATTAATTAATTATGATAGTACCCCTACTCATTATCATAGGCGTAATTTCAACTTTTGACTTGGGGGGGGGGGGCTGAATTTATTAAAGGCAAGCAGA